CTAGTCCTACTGGGAAAGCACTACCTACCTCTATAAATATAACACCATAAGTCATTATTCAGGTACTTTTTTTACATACAATTTGAGCATCCAATATTTTCTGTATTCTCTCTCTGACTTAAGCATCGGAGGGGCGACGAGGACACACCTCGACGCCTTTGTTTCAGGTACCGGAAGACCACGTTCGTGTTCATTCTCAGTTGTCAAGTCCGGGGGTCGACAGGTACGCTTTTTGGTAGCATCAGAATCAAAAAATTATCGAAGAAAATCTTAGTTCAATGTACAATGGGACATGAACACACCTTGTATTCCAAAACGAGGAGAGAAACGACAAAATTTCTTGCCATATGTGCTTTTGGCAATACAAATTTCTTATCCTTTTTTTATTTTTCTGATAATATGGAAGAAATATGATAAGTCCAAATTATAATTGTCAATTTCTAAATTTGTAATTGACAATTCTTTAGTCAAAATCAAGTTTTAATTGAATTGTATTAGGAGTTTATCGAGTTGTAATTAAAGTCAAATTAGAAGTTATAGAATCATAATTAAAGTCAAAGGAGTTATGTTGGTAGTATAGTTCTTGAATGAGTTCAAGAAGATCACATATGATCATTGGAATGCATTTAGAAGTCCAAAGAGTATCAACCAGCCAGACAAATTATGCTCCAAATTCTGAGTTGCAAANTTGGAATGCATTTAGAAGTCCAAAGAGTTTCAAAGAGCCATATAAGTTATGCTCCAAATTCTCAATCGTAACTCACAAAGCATTTTTCATATAGAAAACATTGAAATTTGGATAAGTATATTTCTAAAAGAATTGTATCCCTTTGAGTTAATTTTCCAACGTATTTTGAATCACCTCAATCGGATATTAGGAGAGAAAGTTATGATAAAAATATTGACGACTGCTTAGTCGTTACTCGCCTGTCGCTGACTTGACCCTCGAGTGACTGGTCGAAGTCCAGGATTCTATTTTGCTTCAAACACTTAATTTTTTTAATCAATTTTCATCTCAAACATTTTTCTCTATATATATCATAACCTATGTCTAAAAGGGTGTTGAATCATATTTTCCATAGAGATCATTCCTTTGAAGATCCAAAACACATTTATTGATTCAAATATTCAACCANTGAACGTCCAAAAGTGTGTTGAATCATATTTTCCATAGAGATCATTTGATTGAAAACGGAAAACACATTCATTGATTCAAAGATTCAACCACCATATTTTTTGAGCCATAATTTCATCCAAACTTTGATTGTTGATTTAGTTATATTGTTTCATATTAAACCATAGATCAAAACACACAAGATCTTTTGATGAAA